GAGAGGACTCTGGAGTTAAATATTGTCAAATGTTCAATTTAGCCTAAAACACTTTCTACCTTTCAGGGAGAGACTGTTCCCAATATTCCCCTTTTAATGAGCCGACCTGAAAATCAGTCTACTGGTTTACCCCAATAATTTCTATCCTTAATGACCCTCTCTTTCATTTTGTTTGTTTGTTTGTTTGTTTTTTAAATCAATCATTCTTATCTTCTCGCTTATTTTAGATGATGGGAAATGCCCCTTGAATCCTCACAGGTAAGGTAGAAATGTTTTATGATTGAGTAAATTTTGCTAGCTTGACTTTATAATTCACTGTAATATGTCAGAATGATTACATGCAATGCCTGCCTCCTTTTTACAATGTCTTTTAAAATGTCTTCTTTTCTATTCTGAAGAAAAATATACAGATAACAAATATTCTCATTATAACATAAAGTAGAAATAAAATGAAAAGTAATTTATAATAAAAACACAATGCAAAAACTTAGGCGCTGTGCCAGCAGATGCAATGAGGTCATCAGAAACATGCACCTTCCAGCAGAATCACTAGGAAAGCAGCAGCCATGCAGGTGGACTGATGGGGGAATGTTGTATTAGTGACTCAAAGAGCATTAGAGCTGTGGCCAGCACTAATCTAATTTTTCAAAATGGTGAACAACTCTGGTAAAGAGTCCTAAAACCTGTGATAATTGTCTCTTGATTCATATGGCAATTACACTTTTTAAAGATGCAAAAAATGCTTAATATTTACATGTAAAGCGCTTGAGTTCCAGGCTCAGAGATTTTTAACCTGTATGAATATTGAGCAGATATTCCAAAGTTACGTGGGGTGTTGGACAATTCTTTTGTGTCCTGTACCCCCTGTTGTTTATAATCTGGCAAGAGTTTTCAAAAAGGGACAGTATGCCTCCAAGGGTATTTTTTTTTTTTTTTTTTTTTTTTTTTGCAATGAGCAAGAGCTCTGCTGACATTGAGTGGGCAGGAGGCAGGGGTGCTGGATATCTTTTAAAGACTTCTCCATCCTGGAGGAAATAGAAATCCTTATATGAACTCTATTGTCACAGACATCCAGCACCCTTGCCCCATACCCACTCAATGTCAGTAGAACTCTTGATGGTTATAAATATCAAAAAACACCCCTAGGGGGCACACTGCCCCCTTTGAAAACTACTGTTAGATTATCAAGTGTTAATTAACGCCAAGAATTTTGTAACTACTTCCTCTCACCTAGAAGAGGTTGCAGCACCTTAGAGGGTACAACAGGTGTTCAGTACATAAAGCATCAACAATAACTTAGTGCGGGTACAAAATGAAATGCAAATTACCCAGAGCTTTTAAGTGGGATATCGAATATTTCTTTGGCCTTTATTTTTCTTTCCTTTCTAAAGCAGAATTCCAGGGGTGGATGGTAATTTATGGTTTCTGGAAATACTATGTGTTGGACTGTGTTGTTGACAACTAAGCAGTATATGGTGGTCACCCTTGTGTTTCTGTTTTTTAGCCACCTAGGAACATATGGAGTTTTTACAAATGCTGCATTTGACCCGAGTTCTTAAGGTAACATACCTATACAGATATTTTTGAAGGAAATAGAACAATAGGGAAAAAGGAAGACTATAAAGCTTAACTTTTCTTTATGTAATCATGTATTACATTTTAAGTATGTATTAGATTTTCAGGCATGAAGGAAATTGTGTTGGCAGTAGGACACAGGTATGACAACGGAATGACAATAGAGTTCACATAAGGATTTCCATTTCCTCCAGGACAGAAATGTCCTAACAAGACATAACTTATTTCAGGATGTGTGACATTTCCATTATTGGCTGCTAGGTCGTGATGACGTGACCTTTCCTGCAAAACAGAAGTCAAGACTGCTGAAAAATGTTTACGAACTGTTATGGAGTCAATTCCCTATGCTACTTGCTGGAAAAACAAAAATAATCTGATGCTATCCCTCTCCCAAAAAGTTCAGTAGGTAGCTGAGTGTCCTACAAAAAACCTGAATGGCAGAATATTCAAAATCTAGAAAGAAAAGATTATGCTGAGCCTCAGGGGGTAGATATGATGAGCAATTTTTTTCTTTCCTTTTTTTTTTTTTAAGGAAGTGATAATTATTTAAATTTCTTTGGTCTCATTTTCAGAGACCTGTACTTTTCCTGGTCACCTCATTCAGCTCCATATGATCCTGTTGTGAACATCAAGTTTCCTGCTAGACTTGACTTAACTATAATGCATTTGCTGCAGTTTTCCATAAACACCTGTGAATCAAAGACATGGAATTACCTTAGATTAGCTCTGGACCAGGCTGTTGGACCAGCTCTGGACCAACCCTGTTTCCTGAGTTTGGGATTGTAGTACAATCTCAAATTCTCAACCTACCACCCCTTCCTGCCCCACCTCTTCTCTTCCTGTAATACAAGCCACAGAAACCAGGAGCAAATGTTTCTGCAGTAGTCTCTGTGCTTTGACTCACCTATCACTTGAACTACCAGTGAACCAAAGAGACTGGAGCATCTGACTCACAAGAAGACCAGACTGTGGAGAAACAAAAATACCTCTTTATTTTTTGATTGAAGGAAGGCTTTCTCTACTTTGTTGGAAAGCAGGTGGCATCTCTAACTGGAAGCAATTCCTGTAGCATCTTCTGGAGTCTCCAGTGGTTGCTGTTGATGAGGCCTCTTGGACCTCTGCTCTGAGGCTTCCAGAGAGTCCTCTGGATGGCACCAGAGGCTGCAGAAGGCCAAGAATCAAGCCAGGAGGATACATGTCACTGTGGACCTTCCTGCCACCAGCCACTGTCCCCCAAAGGACCCAAAGACCAATATTCAAATGTATAATTAAACGAATTTTCCCCAAATGCCATGTTCCTCTCTTTGATGGTTCATTCAGTAAGGTCTGTGTATATCACATTGTTTGCCATCAGTGTAATAACACATAATTATGGTTGTCCTATTTACACCTCAACCATTCAGTCAGCCAGCAAATTTGTGTCATACACCCTCCACTCCAAGAGAAAATCAGAGAAATGGAAAAATTCTTCATCACCTTAATGTTTTACAGGGAAGAACAAATGTATTTTACATGTTCTTCAAATCCCATGTTTAATAAATAGGTCATTGAAAGTTATACAGTATTTTTCTGGAACTGATGTTAAAAAAAATAGAGAGCCAAACATTATAGTAGTCATCTTGTCTCTGTAAAATGTAATGCAATAAACATGTCATGTAAACTGTATATACATAAGCAAACATCCAAATAAAAAAGCAGCCTACTCAAAGGTTACAGTAATGTTGCAACAATGTTGGTAGTAACCTTGGGATTTAGGGACACAGTGCTTTCAAAACGTTTCTCTGATACACTGCCAGTAGCATCTCTGACTGCTTATTTATACGTCAATCAATAGGCTAGATGTTCTAGGACTTTGGTCTCAGCCCTATTTCCTGAGTCAGAATCTACATTTTGTAAAAGTTCCCCTGGGAATTCTGATGGGCTACCAACTTTGGGAGATACTGATAACATTGTAGATAAAGAAGTGTAAGCAACTGTTCAGTCAGGGAGACAACAGATACCTACATGGAATAACCAAAGGTAATTAACATGATTATACAATTTGAATAGTGTTATAATAGTTCATAAAATGGAAAAGTCAATTGGAGCCCAGAATCTGGGAGACAAGCAGAACCCTGCACTGTAAAGAATGACCCAGCAAAGAGGAAGAAAATGGGCATTCTAAGTTGGTAGAATAATTATCAGCACAGGAGGAAAGACAGAACACTGGGGGAAGTGGGGAGGGGGGAAGAGGCTGTTGATGAGCCTGATATCATTAACAGAGACCTCATGTGAGGTGCCAGATTACAATTTATTGAATGTACTGAATGCATAAAGCATGACAGAAACTTGGAGCCATGCAGATACAGGGAACCCAGGACAAGTCATTATGATGTCTCAGACGATATAATTCTCAGATTCTCTATCAACAACAAAGTAAGATTTAAGGTGGTGTGAAACAACTAGATCCTTCAAGAAATACAAGAATACAAGGGGTCCTGGAGACAGGAAAATATGATCATAGTAATAAATTTGTGACTGACTGAGTTTCTTTCTCTCTCTCTCTCTCTCTCTCTCTGTTCTTTCTTTCTTTTTTTTTTTTTTTTAATGGAGTTTTGCTCTTGTAGCCTAGGCTGGAATAAAATGGCACGTTATCAGCTCACTGCAACCTCCACTTTCCATGTTCAAGCAATTCTCTTGCCTCAGTCTCTTGAGTAGGTGGGATTACAGGTGTCCACCACAACTCCCGGCTAATTTTTTGTATTTTTAGTAGAGACAGGGTTTCACTATGTTGACCACGCTGGTCTTGAACTCCTGACCTCAGGTGATTCACTCGCCTTGGCCTCCCAAAGTGCTGGGATTACAGGCTTGAGCCATTGCGCCTAGCCGCTGTGTGCTAAGTGCTGGAACTATAGTTTACAGTAGCATTTTATCCTCCCAACATACCCTATCAGGAAAAACCATTATTGTCATCCTTATTTCACAGATATCAAAGCTGAACAGAGAGGTACAGTAACTTGCCCAAGACAACACAGCTAGTAAGTGAAACTGAAAACTGGACAACTGATTTTTTTTTCAGCCAAGTTCTTTAAGCCCTCTGCTATGCTGCAGCTTAGCTAGCTACAGGCCCTTATCGAGGCAGAACTGTGCCTTGATAGAGACCAGGAAGGCGATTCAGAGCAGTAGGCCTTGTCCATGTGTTTGTTCCCTTCTTCTCCACCACTTGAAAATAGTGTTTCAGTGCCCGGTAACAGGGCACAATACTCTTTTCCTCAGATCAAAAGGCGAGCCATCTGCTTAAGGTAGTTGGGTACCACTGCACTGCACAGAAGATTCTCCAAGTGTCAGCTTAGACCCAGGCAGGCCTCAGGTCAGTGGTAAGGGACGACTCCTTCCGTGGTGTTGGCCGGTGGAAATGGAGGGATACAGCTTTGTCCGGCTCATGAATCCCTGGGCATTGTCCCGCCTGCTAGAGCCTCTGGTCTCTACCCCCTCTTCACCTGTAGTAAAACAGTCACTAGTTTGGTTGCTCTCCCTAATACCTCTGGTCGCTGGGAGCTGTGATCTCACCAAGACCCTGCCAGGAAAAGCCCCAGAAAAGGGGGAGGGAGGGAGAGCCAGAGGCTGCCGCTGCAGTTTGCAAGAACCGCAGGGGAGAAGGACGCTGCCACCCACAGCCTTCAGAGCTCACTGCAGCTGGGACAGCCAGGAGCGGGGTTAGTCAGCAGCTCCACGAGCGGCTGCCCAGGTCCTGGGGTGGTGGCAGCCAGCGGGAGCAGGAGAGGAAGCATGTTCCCACGCTGCCCACGCCTCTGGGTCCTGGTGGTCTTGGGCACCAGCTGGGTAGGCTGGGGGAGACAAGGGACAGAAGCAGTACAGCTAAGGCAGTTCTACGTGGCTGCTCAGGGCATCAGTTGGAGCTACCGACCTGAGTCCACAAACTCAAGGTAACTCAGGTGTGGATCTGGGTGGGCTTCTCTAGAGAGGAAAATCTATTTCTTTGAGAGAACATTTCCTTTGCAATGTCATGGCTTTTTTTTTTTTTTTTTTTTTTTTTTTTAAACTTCAGGTAAGTAAATATAACTAATAGGAGAGCACACTGAATTAAATAAACTGGGCGAATGCTAATTTTGCCTCCAATAATGTAGTTTATCATTCTGAGGGTATAGAAAGATTCCATTTGATTGGTTAGATGATGCTTTCTTTTCAAGTTTATTTTCAATACAGTTTTGTTAGTATGTTTGTGTTGGCTTATATATTGGTGAATTCAAAGGCACCAGGGATTGCTTCCTCATTAGTGCTTTCTGGAAATTCCTGTTCCAGATTTTTAGTTGTATAGTATTTTTATAAGACTCCTATTTACATATTATTTATTCCCTTGTCTACATAGCTTCATCTTCTAAAACTAAAAATGAACACCTTGTGCTTTTTGTCATATAATTTTATTGCTGCTTTATAAATGATGTTCAAAATATCATCAGTTCTTGTATGTTTTTGTACTTTCACCTTTTTTCTGCTTCATATTTGACTTATTTATCCTACTGAATGTGACTCTTCATTTTTTTCTCTCTGTTAATCATGTCCTGGGATATGGTATGTAACTGAGAGGAGGTTTAATTCATATAAAATACTACCCTTGAGTTGCAAACTATTTTTTTCTAATTGAAATGTTAAAAATAAGACTTCTCAGAAATTAACTAAATCATAGAGTCTATTCAATATTTCCAGTGAGTTATTTTTTAAATGGTAAACCTGCTAGTGTGACTCACTTTTTTTCCTAACATCACAGTTTATTATGAAAGATGTGTTCCTCTTTTACAATTACAAAACCAAAGCAATCTGCCAAAAACTAATGTAATATTTTGAGATCTTTTAGTGTATAATATTAACCTTTTTAAAACTCTCATTGTAACTGGGTTATTTTGGAGGGTATTACACATGATCTTGGTCTTATAAGAAGAAGAGATCCCTCCTTTTCAAAAATAATCATTTTAAATATTGTACTTCAAAGTGACAATCTAGGTCACACCCACTGCTGTAAGCTAAAACCCCAAGGAAAATAACAGTCCTTCTAACACTAATCTTGCCTGCTCATGAGTAGAATGCAAACTTGGTTGTTGGCTTTCTTGTAGCATACTGGGTTTACGCTTGGGAGTTTTTTCTCTTGTCTGTAGTTAGCATTGAAAATAGCAAGCAAAATGCTGGAGGCAGAATCACATAGGGCAAAGGTCTGATTCGCATGGTGAGTACACAGGGAACCACGACTGGTCATTCTGTCCCCTCACCCTGTGGATAAGTTTCCAAAGTTCTGGAGAGTCATTTCTCTGGTAGCAATTGTTGAGTCAAAACCATAGAAACATAACCCAGACAAACTGTCATATTGTTTAACCCTAAATCATATCACTTCTCTCTAGCATTTTCTTATGAAAAATCTAATCCATATATCCGGCTGCTTACACTAAGAACTTGTTCTAACTTGTCCTGCCCCTGGAGTTATGATACTCACTAGATGAATATCAACATAGATAACTCCATCTTTTGGCAAAGTGTATTTTAGCACAAAGCAGAAATCCGCGTACTTATTTCATATAATATTAGCAGGACAATGCCTTGTAAAGGTAAAATGTACGTATTATTCTTGCTCCAAGTCTGAGATGAACACTTTCAAAAATTTCCTTAGAAACCTTGTTTAGTCACTCACATAATACAAAGAGATATTGAAGAAAAGATACACATATATTTTACTCCTAGGGTTCTAGCTTTATATGATTTTGTGACTATGAACAAATTATCTTTAAACAATCCTTATAAATGAAAAACTCATTGTACACATTGTTTGAATTCATATCATCTGTAACTTTTTAATCAGATAATTATTTTCCAATAGAAATTGTTCAGATTAAAATAGACATACCTCAGTATAAATACACAGCATACATAGTAAAACTTGTTAGAAAACCTCTCTCTGTTGAAATTACTCCACATAAGAGACTGATATTTTTTAGTAAAGATTTTACACCATCATCTACATTTCTGTATTAAAGATCTGGGGCAGGGGAGGACAATAACTTTTCAATTGTACTAAAAAAATAAATAAAAATGGACTTCCACATTAGGGACATTAGTATATAGAATCTTAGAATTCTTAAGTTATAAGAATGCTAAGAGGTCATTTAATTCATATTCAAACATATTAAGGTGTTTTAACCTTCTACTTTTTCCCTTGCCCTCAGCACCAATGACCTTACCAAGTAGTTGTCTAATTTCTACTTGAATACTGCCAGTGATGGAGAATCCACTACCTTCTCTATCTAGCCATTCTAAAAGTACTTACATGCCTCCTTTAATCCTGCCCCCACATATTAACACAGTTCCTGTATTCCACATATTAAAATTTGTGAGCATTACTATAACTACAGATTTGTTTTTGCTTTCTGTGAAAACCTGAAGGCTAAAGACTAACTCTAATTATATTTACAAAATAATGTTACTAGCTAACATGGATTAAGTATTTCTAGTGTGCCAGTTCTGTGCCTTTTGCACATATCAACTTATTTAAAATTGTACAACAATTCTGTGAGGGAGATTTCAGTATTAATCTCATCTTATAGTTGTAGAAACTGAGGCACAAATGAATTAAGTAAACTTTTCAAGATAAAACAATAAGAGGTAGATGTAGTCTTCAAGTTCAGAGATACTGAATTCACAGCCTGCACCCTAGCCACCATGCTGTATAGAAGTCATGGCATATGTGGGTGCTGTTATGTCTTGATTATGGCTGGGCCACTGTCCTCATATTAGAAAGCAAAACAAAGCCACTCTGATCAACTGATTGAGACCTTTGTAAGGTATTTTCTCTGAATTCTCTTTCCTTTTACCCTCATCTTTGAGTTTAAGACAAGGATAAGAATGATGTGTCTTTAGAGGTACAGAACAATAACAACAACAACAACAGCAACAACAGGAAAGTAACCCACCACTCACGACTCTCCCTGTTGTCTGTCCTCTCTCTAATATTTTTTTAAATCATGAATGCAGTGGTTTCACATTTTTTAATATTGGTTCTGCCACTTATCAACTGTGTCTCTTGGACAAGTTACTGACTGTTTCCAAAACAGTTTTTTCATTTGTTGGTTTCCAATATGAATCCCAGGGCTTTTATCCCATTAGCCATCTCTCACCTCTCAACTAGAAATAAATTCCACCAAATCAATACTTTTTCACAATGTTCCCCAGTAGATTAAAACTATTTTTGATTGATCAGTTGAAAAACAGCTCATATATTTATTCATAAAGGATTTGGTCATATTTTAATCCTGTAAAATCTAAACCTACAGTTTGGGTTTATACTGTGATATTGGGTTCTTTTTAGAAAATTGATTCTGAGGAACGATATTAGGATAGATTAACTTGTGAACAAATAGTTATCACAACAGGATATTTTTGAAGATACCAATAATTATTTCATTAACTTTATTTATTGATCATATTTATAAAACTGTGGGCTTCTGAAATGCAATAAAGATACTGGTATTCTACTAGAAGTCTGAAGATATGAGAGATCTACCTTTTTTGTGATGTGAGAAATAGATGTTGAATATGCCTTGCAAATTAGTTTTTGTATTTTATTTCCAGTTTGAATCTTTCTGCAACTTCCTTTAAGAAAATTGTCTACAGAGAGTATGAACCATACTTTAAGAAAGAAAAACCACAATCTAGCATTTCAGGTAAGCCTGAAATATACTTTTTTAATTTTAAAGATAAATTTCTATGAGTAATTTGGCATTCACATGCATCTAAAATATCCATTTACTTGGAAATTTGTAGAAACATGTGTTTTCTTTTTTAACAAGTACTGACTGCATAATATGTGGGGCCCCTTGTTCATATTACTGAACATTTCAAAGTAGTGACTGCAAAGCATTAAACCAAACCAGGGGCCCTTCAGGGCATGGGGCCCTGTGAAACTGCCCAGGTCACATACCCATGAAGCTGGCTCTGTTTTTAACCTTGATTAAAATAGCTAAATAAAACTTACAAGTGTTTGAATTTTTATTCATTCATCTAAAAAATTGTTATTGAGTACCTGGTATGGGCTGGGCATTGAAATAGGTAGGCACTGTGGATGCAACAGTGGACAAGACAGGCTCATATCCTGGGTTCATGGAGATTATGGTCCAGTTTAATGAGCACAGATGTGCCTTTGCAGAATGATTTTTTGCTTCCATTTGGCTCCCTAGATTCATTCAAAGGAACTATGTATGGCTGACTCTTTTGCGTCTCCTATTTATCTAGTGTGATACATACCATAGCCATAATTTTTAAAGAAAATCTCTTCTTTTTTCCTCATCTCTTCCTTTATCAAGAAGACTGGGTTGAATAGGGTTCCAGTATCTTAACTATGATACCATATTCTACAGGGATGATACAGACCATCAAGGGAGCACTTCCTCCAGTTGAGTCCGCTTGTCAGTAATTCACCTGTCCCTTTCCCCAATCAGATGAAGACCTGCTGTCTTTCCGAGAATCATCCTAGTCTGTCCTGCCTCTTCTGATCTCCCTTAATCTTCAATATTTACTCAATGGGAGTCTTCCTTTTCATTAAAAATCAACAACCAAACCAAAACCAAACCAAACCATGTCCAGGTTAACTCCTATCTAGAAAAAGGAAAAGAAAAAAATCTCCCCGTGACCCTGCCTGCCTTTTCCTTTTCTCTCCTTTCCTTCACTACCAGTTTTTGTATGAGGACTCTGTATCACTCTCTACATTTCTTCGCCTATATTCTTTTCCTAGTCTGCTTTACTATGAATGAGTCTACTAAAATTACTCTCACAAAAGGGCACTCAGGACTTGAGGTGCCAGAGCCTGTTTTCTTTTACTACTAGACATTACTAGGACATTTAACATTCTTCCTTTTTGAAGCTCTCTCTTTACCTGGTTTTTCTATTGTCACTTCCCCTGGGTTTTCTGACTTCTCTTATCACTCCTGCTCAGTATCCCCACCAGATATTCTCCCCTAGGGTTCCAGTCTCACCCAAAACCAAGGCTTTCACTACTACCTACCCAGAAGCCACTTTTCCTCTGAAGCTACACTGACACCCCCTCAATATCAGCAGGATTAAATCTTCCCTCTTCTACACACCCCCAGAACCTTGAATTAATCCCTACCTTCTAAAGATATTATGAGGATCAATTAAGTTCATAAGTACAAAGTATTTATAATGATGCTGACACACAATAGGCACCCAGTAGAAGTTAGCTACATTATTGTTATTTTTGCTGCTATTTTAATCATAACTTAGATCATATATATCATAGTATCATGGATATCTATATATCTGTATTTCTCCACTCATATATTCTTCATATGTGTTCATTTATATATTTATTTAATTTTAAACAAATCTGCATTTAAATATTCTTTTATTTTAAAATAATTGTGTATTGAGGCCAGGCACAGTGGCTCATGCACTTTAGGAGGCCAAGGCAGATGGATCACTTGAGGTCAGGAGTTCCAGACCAGCCTGGCCCACATGGTGAAACCCTGTCCCTACTGAAAATACAAAAATTAGTTGCACATGGTTGTGCGTGCCTGTAGCCCCAGCTACTCAGGAGGCTGAGACATGAGAATCACTTGAACCCAGGAGGTGGAGGCTGCAGTGAGCCAAGATCGCATCATCTTCACTCCAGCCTGGGTGACAGAGCAAGACTCCATCTCAAAAAAAAAAAAAAAAAAAAAAAAAAAAAAAAAAAAAAAGTGTATTGAGAACCTACCACATTCCAGGTTCTGGGATTAAGTGAATAAGACATGGACCTTGACTTCTAGGAGCCAACCAGCTACTGGGGATAACCTATAGGTAGACAAGCAATGACAGTAGAGCAATAAGGAAGAACTATGATGAGGATTCTGTAGTAGGACATAGGAGACCTATCTCCAGTCTGGTGGGCAGGAAAGTACTTCTCTTTCTAGGTTGATAGCTGAAAAAAAGAGTAGGATCTTGGAAATCCAAGTGGGGAGGCAAGGCATTGGAGGGTAGATGCATTTTAAACCAAGGCGCAGAATGTTTCAAAGTTTGGAGGTGAGAGTATGGTATGTTTGTGGAACCATAACTGGATCAGCACAGCTGGAGCACAAACTTCAGGGAAGGAATTAACAAGAGATGGAACTAGATGGAGATCGGGCATCCATCCTAGGCTTTATAGTGAGAGGAATAGGGAGGCCCTAATAGGATTTCAGCAGGAGAAAGATTTGTCCTTTAGAAAGACGATTCTCTCCAATTATAGAGAATGGATTGGAGGAAGACCAGAGTCCAGAGCCAGAGAAACTAGTTATGGGACTGTTGTATCAATCCAGATAGCAAAGAAGCTGAGATGGGGAAAATGAGATGGGGAAAATGATTTAGGAGCTCAAATCAATTAAACTTGGTGACTCATTAGATGTGGATAATGAGGAAGAAAAGGGAATTATTATGGACTTCAAGGTTCTGGCTTGAACAGCAGAGTGGATAGGGTGCCATTCAGTAAGAAAGAAAATTTAAGAAAAGGAGATAGTTTGTGAGGGAAGGTGATAAGTATAGATTTGGAGTCTGTCTATAGAATGTCTACCTAGAGATGTTAAATGAGCAGATCGGTGTAGAAGTTTGGCCCTCAAAAGAGAGAACTGAGCTAGCTGTAAACATTTGGGAGACATCAGAACAAAGATGGTAATTGAAGCATTTAGAGGGTGTAAACTCACCAGGGAGGATGTGATGAGAAGAGAAGGCTGCAGACAGAGCTCAAAGTAGCAGCAAAGTCCAAGGGATGAGCCAAGAAAGAACAGTTTACCAAGGAGCTTGAGAAAGCCTGTTCAGGGAGGGGAGAAGAAATCTAGAAAATGTGGTATCCTGGAAGCAAAGGGTCAAATGCTATGAAGAGTTATTAACATAAGGGCCAAAATATGGTCCTTTTGTTATGGACTAGTGGGGCAAGTCCAGATGGCAGGATGAGGAGTGAATGGAAGGTGAGGAAACTGAAGCAGAAGGGTCTTACAGATAACTCTTCCCTGAAACTTGGTTCCAGATGGGAGGAGAGGCAGGATAGTTCTGAGGTGGACTCAGGAGCTTAAGGATATTTGAGAATTTTATAAAAAGGAATACAGAGACTTAAAATATTTAAGGGAAGACTCCATAGAAATGCCACAAAGTCCTTTCCAATAGAAAACGAGGGGATAAAAACATCTGAGAGAGAAGACTCGGAAGAAGCAGGAAGCATTGGGATTCAAACCTTGGGCCGGCTTGGCCTTAGGTAGAATGGCTACTACCTTCACTGGGGGCCCAGAAAGCAGAAGATAACGTTGCCAATAAAATTAAGTTTGTAGTTGTGAGCAGGAAGTTGAAGGATGTCCTGTCCTATATCACAGAGTCTATTCATTTTCAGAGCTCCAGCTCCAAGCTTAGCATATACAACAGATACTTAAGAACTGTTTAATTAAATTAAATTGTAGGTAGATGAAGGGAATATGAGGTGGGAAACATACTCATTAGGGCCAGGAAAAGAGGAATTGGCAGGTATTTGAAGGTGTACCTTTTGTGGCTTTTGCCAAGCTAAGCAAATTTTAATCCCTTTGCTGTGTAAGACATTGTGCTGAATGCCGTAAGCGATGGAAAGGACTAATTCCAGGCTGAAGATTTTTAAACAATAAAAAGTCATGGATAGTTTTTGAAGAAAAGGGTACTATGATCAAAGTCCTTTCAGGTAAATTATGTTTTGTAGTGATTTCCTGCTTTAACCTTAGTAGAGCCAGACTCTGACAGTTGGTGAGAATGGTCTCCAATTTATGTGTAAGGCCTTTGCACCTTTCTGTCAACCCCTGTGTATCTCAGAATATATTTGTTTTTTGTGAACAAAGGCATTTTGACGTCCATTTTAATGTAATCACTTCCTGAACATCCAAAGTTGCTTAACTATGAACTTCTGAAGTGCAGGAGTGGTATCTTATTCACCTTTGTATCTCTATAGTAGTTGATATAAGGAGGCAAATCTGGCATGAAGGAAAAGCCTTTTATTTTGACTGAGATCTGGATTTGAACACTGCCATTAACTATGTGGCTTCTCCCATTCCCCAGACTAGTCCTGTGTCATTTGTTCCTTTCCCCTATGTCCTGCTCCACTCATCTGCTGGCTGTGATTCTAGCTGAGCCCTGATCAAATCATGAGCCTCACTCCTGCAGCATGAACTAGTGTTGCTGTTAGTTATTGTAATTGCAGGGGGCTGGGCTGCAGGATTGGAGGTCTGAAGATGTCCAATAAAGTTTGTGGACATTTGCGCAGGTGAAGGAGTATGGCTGGGGTCATTTTTAGGAATTCTGTCTTGGACTTTAAAATGGCTAGTTTTGGCTGGGCATAGTGGCTCACACCTATAATCCCAGCACTTTGGGAGGCCAAGGTGGGAGGATTGCTTGAGGTCAGGAGTATGAGACCAACCTGAGCAATGTCGTAAGACCCTGTTTCTATTTAAAAATATATATATTTTTTAATGAGTCAGGCATGGTGGTACATGCCTGTAGTTTCAGCTACTGGGGGTGCTAAGGCAAGAGGGTCATTTAAGACAAGAGCATCACTTGAGCCCAGGAGTTTGAGGCTGCAATGAGTTATGATCACACCACTGCACTCCAGCCTGGGTGACAAAGTAAGGCCTCACCTCTAAATAAATAAGTAATTAATTAAATTGCTAGTTTTGAGTCTCCC